ATTGTTAGCCATCCAATGCAATATCAATAGATATTGCAGGTTGCTAATCTCAGAAAAATTGACAATCATCATAGCCTAAAAATAAAAAAATCACCAACGAAAACCAAATACCTAAATGCCCCAGAGCAATAGCCATCCAGTACAATGTGTACACATTGTAGGTTGCTTGCATCTTAGGAAATATCCTGCATTCACAAATTCAATTACAAAAGTTAGTATTCCACAAAATGATATTAATCATGGAAGATAAATATTACAAAATGGAAGCAAATAAATACTTACTACATATTACAACAATATGTTCCATCATCATAATGTTCCACAAACACAATAAAAACATTATCACCAAAAGTAAGTGGATTTCACAAGTATGTTAGAAATGAGAATCACAAAATACCACGTAGAGACTTCTTCTATCGGTCTTCAACCCCCTTCGTTGAGAAAGGTAGCAATCATCTCTTTTTGACCAACCGATGATATGCCCATAAATAGTCTTGCTTCATGCTCATTCAAATATAAGTGTCGGTAGTATGTATCTAGCTTTTCAACACTAAAATCTTGTAAATGAGCATATATGACCGTGGATAACTTCTCGGTCCAATGCATATTTACACACTTCATGTTTGCGCTAAATACATCTATCTTATCCACCATTTTTAACATGAGCTCATCTTCTAGGTTGTTCCTACGAGCCTTTCCCTTAGCAACACATACCTTTGCTTTAGAACTTGATATGGCGGGTGTTTCCTTAGGCGGAGGAGTGTCCTCTTCATCTAAAATGTGTACTTGAGGGGATTGTGAGGCAGGTAAAGGCGAGTCACCATCATCTCCAAGATTTATGGACTCACTACGACTAAATTTTTTCCAAGCATCACATGCAAATTCTCCTCTAGCTTGATCATCCCCGATGATAAGGGAAAGATCATCGTAGTGAGTCAAGGGTTTATTGACATATTGTCTAAGTTTAGCATTCTTAAAGCTCTTGTCCTGAAAAGTATAATTGAATTAATTCAATGAAAACATGTAAATAAGATAAGTAATCAAGGGTTATGTAAAAATAGTTTATGTACCTCAATCCACCTATCCAAACATTCAGGATCCATGATGACAGTCTTGGTGCTTTCATCCCAACCGGCACCACTAAGATTACGACATGTTTCCATATCACGGAATCTTGTACGCAAAGTTTTGATGCGGTTCATGACATTTTCCCACTTGAATGATGTGTTAAACTTCTCATTAATATGCTGGGAAGCCATATGAAAAGCGGTTCTCCCAACCGGCACCACTAAGATTACGACATGTTCCATATCACAGGAATCTTGTACGCAAAGCTTTTGATGCGGTTCATGACAGTTTTCCCACTTGAATGATGTGTTAAACTTCTCATTAATATGCTGGGAAGCCATATGAAAAGCGGTTCTCTTAAAGCTTTTGTCGGGTTTGTAACCCTTTCTTACCATGTCGGCAAGAAATGGAATGAGCTCATCATCGTAACGGGAATCCCAGAACATATGTTTGTTACCTTTAAGACCTCCAGTCTCACTATTTTTTTTATTTGTTGATGTGTTTTTCCTCCTCTTCTTTGGATTTGGTGATGTTTCTTCCCCTCCTTCTATGAGCACCCGTTTGGAACCTGATTCGGGAGTTGAGCCATAACCACTAGTGGGAGAAAGTTGTACCCCACTAATATTAGGACTTTCAATCCATGTGGTTGTGGTCTAGATAATGCATCTTGGAGAATTCTAAAATCATTTGCAGACCCCTCCCAACCTGCTAAGACATATGTGAACAATTTGTCTGGGGTGCAAGCTGCAAGCACGTTCTGTGTAACACCTTTGCGGCCTCGAAATCGTGCAACAAGATTAATCGGAAGCATTGCATCAACATGAGTCCCATCTATCATACCAATGCAATCCTATAATACGTGTATCACATTACTAAGTTATCATTTATTTTTATTGCTTATACATGTAACTGTGGTTAAAATGTAGATATACCTTGAAATAAGGATAGTATAGCTGGTTGTTAACGATCTCTTGGGGAGTATCATTGATGGCTTGTCTCATGTAGCGTTCACGCAAACAGATAATTGCTTGTAAAACCTTGTTGAAATATCTACTGACTGTCTCCCCTGATCTTATGAAATGAGATCTCACAATGCGATTTTTAGATTTATGACCCAAAATATTTAGTGTCATGATAAGTTGTTCTTCCACTGATATATTCCTTGAGTCTTTTAGAAGCATATTGTTCCTCATTATACTTACTAGCTTAACAAAAGCACCACTCCGCATTCTAATATAATTCACACAACTATCACTAAAACCATTATAAATACGCTCTATATGTTCAATTCTAGACCTCTCTTGTCTTTTTTTTTCCTCACTTGGACCACGACGTATAGATTTACGTCTAGCTTGCATTCTCCTTATGAATGTAATTATTATAACAAGAACGGATAGTGCAGCACCTTGAACCACATTAACAACACTTTGTTCATCGGTACAATCCCCATCACCATCCATCTACGATGCAAAAATCAAATTGAAATAATTAATATACCTACCAAGCATTCATATGCAATGTCAATAATCAAAACTTAAACTGAAGGAACAACAACAACCAGACACAACAAACCTGGACACAACCAACACAACCAGCAACTGAAGGAACAACCAGCAACAAAACTGGAGACAACAACAACCAACAACACAACAACAACCAGACAACAACACAAACCTGGACACAACCAACAGCAATTGAAGGAACAACCAGCAGCAACAACCCTGGACAAAATTTTTAAAAATTCTTTTTGAGTTGAGAATCATACCTTAGGTCTGAAATCAGTTTCCAGGAAGATCAAAGTCGGCAAAACCCCCAAATTTTTCCCAATAAAGGCGCTGATAAAATCCAGCAAGCCACGAAATCAGCAAAAAAGCCCTCACCTGTGATTCCGCCCATTTACCCGAAATCTGACAATCGTACAGATCGGGGCGATTTCCTCTCGTTTTTGAAGGAAATGGGGCGAAGAAAAAATGCCGATGTGGAGGGGATTTCCGCGGCTGGAGGGACGAGGGGGAGAAGCGAACCAAAGACGAGAAACGAAAACCCTAGAAAGGGTTTTGTCGATGTGGAGCGGGGGTCGGAGGTAACCCTAGCCCTCACCTGTGATTCCGCCCATTTACCCGAAATCTGACAATCGTACAGATCGGGGCGATTTCCTCTCGTTTTTGAAGGAAATGGGGCGAAGAAAAAATGCCGATGTGGAGGGGATTTCCGCGGCTGGAGGGACGAGGGGGAGAAGCGAACCAAAGACGAGAAACGAAAACCCTAGAAAGGGTTTTGTCGATGTGGAGCGGGTGTCAGGAGGAGAAAAGTGTTTCTTCGGTTCAAAACAGCGAACCAAACACGCCCTTAGAGAAACCTCCTTGATTATGGGGTTTTTCTCAGAAAACCCCTCTAGCTATTTTATCTTTAGAAAACCACCATCAAATTTGAGGGTGTTGTAAAAAAACCCCCTCAACTTTCAAAATATGACTAAACCCTTCTTAACTATGGGGTGTATCACAAAATCCCCTTTATCTTTCTAGTTTCTCAAATAACCCCCTAATATTATTAATTTGAAATATGCAATGATAAAAATACCATTGGTTGAAAAAAATTTCATGTGAGTTTAAAAAACCAATCCATTCAAAATATTAGACTTCAGTTCGATGAGTTTTGATGAGGAAACTAATCTTCAAAAAAAAACTAAAAGTTTCAATTGTTTTAAATGTTACTAGTATGGATAAGTAGAAAATAAAACAAGTTTAGTGTTTTAAAAGAGAAAGGAAAAAAATAGTTTTGCACGTACCATGAAGATGAAGGAATAAGAAGAGGAGGTATCGAAATAAAATGGAAGTTATTTTTAACCAAAAAAAGTTAAAAAGAAACAACATTGTAAAAAAATTTAATATCTTATAAGGGATAGTGTGGTCATTTTAAATCATTTGTTCCTTTAGATTTAAATTATATTAGATTAACTCCATAATTTAGGGGGTTTTCTAGAATTAAAATAGTTGTTGGGGCTTTCCTGAGATAACCCCCATAGTTGAGGGACGTTTTGTAAAATTAACCCAGAATTAAATAGATCGAGTTCAGTGACTAGCTAGAACCATTACACAAGCTTGTCCTTTTGCCTTCACACATTAATTAGCCAAAGCATATATTATAACTCTAATCAATTTACAAGTCAAATCTAATGAATAAATGTATAGTACGCACACAGTTACTAGAATCATCACAATATTCTTGTCCTTTCGCCTTCACTGCTAACCAAACCACAAACTTCTAAGTTAAATGTCAAATATAATGAATCCAAATCACTCTCTATATAAACAAGCAACGCTAGCTTTCACGAATCACAATCCTCCACAGATACACAACAACAAACAAGTCTCTTCATGATTGCCGTTGCCATCGCTGCAATCACTCAGCAGCTCCCCGCTGTCGATCTCAATTAATGCTAGCTGGTTCCGGTTTCTGGATCGATCCTGGTAGCTAGCTAGGTGATCTAAACCGAGAACCATTGGCTCGAATGTTGATTGATTAACGGAAGATTATGATTAATTTATTTTTTAGTACATATTAGACACAAACGTAACACATCAGTTCTAGATTCAGAATAAATCGTAAGCTTATATTAATAATTAGTCCATCGGTGGTTGTAGTAAAAAGCAGTATAGTGTCTCTACTATATTTTTTGATGGTGGAGATGAGCGGATCCTCATCCCAACTCCTTTATAGGTATCCTTTCCATTTGTCACAAAAATACACATATTAGCATCATGCTCATTATTAGCTCACACATGCATCTAGTGTGTGCACATCTCCAGACTCAAAAAACCCTCACGCTACCATCCATCTCATGCATGCAATCCTCATTTCACAAAACCACACCCAAACCTCTACGCCTACATCTATATATACTCAACTCTCATCACCAAACATATACGCACAAACAAGTAGAAATATCAACATGAGGAACCTCAGCATTCTCGTTCTCTTCTTCATCCTAACCTCATCTTCCCACAGCTTCGACCCATCTCCGTTCCCGATCGTCGTCGGAGCCTGCAAGGGCGACCTCGCCGCGCTGACTCAGCAGTGCGCCACGTACGTCAAGATCCCCGGACCGCCGGTCCCGCCGTCGGGTGCATGTTGCAAGGCTATACAGGGTTCTGACGTGCCTTGTATATGCAGGAAGTACATCACTCCTCGGGTTGAGAAGGTTATCAGCATGAAGAAGCTTGTTTATGTTGCGGCTAAGTGTGGGCGGCCTTTTGCTCATAAGAGCAAGTGTGGGAGTAAGTTCATTGGTTAAGAGTACTTGTTGCCTTGTCAACTTTTCAGAAACCCCCCTAGAGTACTTTCGGGGGTTGTTGACTAAACCTCCCTAAACTTTTTATATTCTACTACGTCTCCCCTGAACTTTGGAGATTATTGCACATATATATAGTAGTCACCTGACTTTTTTATCCTATCCAAAATTTCTCATTTTATATCTCAAATTAGGATCATCAACTTTAACGTGTCTCGTGGCAATCACATGACCATAAGAGATGAAAATAACCCTTCAATGCCCCCAAAGAATAAAAAAAGTTCCATTGTTCTTTGTAATAAACAGGTATGTTTTGGGGGCTAGAAAGGAACTTTCATTGTCTTTGGTCACGTAAGAAATTTTCGTTATTAAATGAGAAGTTTTCACATAAGATTAATGAAACAAGCAAGTCATGTGATTATGTGTGATAAAAGTTCAGCGGGTTTAGTTGAATAATAAGTTTACAGGGTGTTTAGTTGAATAAAAGAATCTAAGGGGGTTTCTATATCTTTTTAGGGGAAATCACAGTCAACCCCCTAAGTCATTTATTAATTATTATTGTCTCTTAATTCAAAAGTGAGAGCGTGGACTACAATTTATCCTTACGAAGATGCCAATAAATGGGAGATAAAAATAGTTGAGGGTGTGGAGGTGTAGATAAGTTGAATTATCTGCAATTTACCCTTTAGTTTAAGTGTTAAATTTCTTGATTATGTTGGGGTTGAACACACAACTCGTGCTCTTCCGGATCTTGTGCCGAAAGTAAGCAAACAGGAAATCACAGCAAATAAAAGGAAAAACTTGCAGGAAGGAATAATTAAACAGAGAACACCAAATTTAACGAGGTTCGGTAAATGTGTCTACGTCCTCGGGAGCCACACCAAAAAAAACTTTGATTAATTGAAGAAGATTATAATGCTTGCAATAGGTCCTTCTCTTTCTAAGATCTCTGATCTCAAAGTGCCGTCAAAACCCCTCTTTTTTCGTGTTCTAAAATCCCTGAAAACATATCAAGGTATATATTGTATGCCAGCCCAAAACTTAGTAGTATCAATAATAATACATACAATTAATGTAATTATAAGTTCCCAAGAAACGAAAGTTGCTCTCATTCATCATACGTAATTCATGATCTTACATAATTTTTAAACTTTTATAAATTGTTTTATCTTTTATTTAATTTCCTCTCCTTTTTTTATACTTTTTCAAGTAACCTTTTCGTTTTGTGTGCTGACTAATGAACTGGGTTTCAGGCTATACTGTTCCAGCGATGTCACCTGGGGGACAGGGATAAGAAGCAAAGAACAAGAAGAAAGATGACGCACATGGACAAATAAATTGGATAATATAGACAATGATGAAATGAATTAAAAGTGTACATGTTATCTTACAAAAATCAATCAATAAAAAAGTTATATATATATTACTTTTAATATATAGAATAAAATAGCATTAAAATAGAACAGAATCAATGCAGAATTTGTTAGTATGCGGGTTATTTGACTTTTGGAAAGCAACTCTAGCATGGGGACAGAGAGCTAGCCGTGTACGTAAACGCATATATAGTCCACTTGTGTTCACAAAACACGTGAGATGGTCGTGAGGCTGGCGGTGGTCAATTGCATAGATGAACATACGCATGCACCCTATTAATTTAAGAACTTATCATTAATAATAATAATAAGATCGCCTTTCTAGAAATATTTGACGATAATTCTATATACGGTTTTTCTATAGAGTGTCATTGGGCACTCTATAAGAGAAGAGGGAGATAGAGAGAAATGAATGAAGAGAGGATCCCAATGCAAATCAGGGGGCCCCCCTCCTCATTCATTTCTTTCTATCTCTCTCCTCTCTTATAGAGTGCCCAATGGCACTCTATAGAAAAACCGTTCTATATATATGATTATCAATGCCCTTCCCATTTCTCTAGCCTTGGCAAGTTCGCCATCGTTCACCCTAAAAAAAAACATTAATTAGGTTGAGTTACATATAAAGAATGGCAATCAATCCTTAATAAAAGAATATCCTGCAGACACAAATCTATAATTTATTTTAGGGTAAACATCATAAAACTCCTCCTTAACTTTGGTTGAATTTAACAAAAAAAAAACTCTCATTAACTTCCAAAATATATATCATAACCTCATCCCCCTTCTCTCTATCTTAAGCGTAGGGATTATTACGTAACCCATTTTAACTTTCAGACTTCAGTAGAAAATCCTTTTTAACTTTAAAATATTATCATTTAGGGGGGGTTTCCTGATAAAATTTTAAAGTTAAAAGGAGTTTTTGGATAACTCCTAAATGTAAGAGGTGTTTTCTGTCAAGAAAAAAAAAATGCCATTAGCTCTTTTTATCTAATGATAGAACATGCAGTCTCCACCACATGGTAACAAGGAATTTGATGTCTAAATGCAGGATTAATGTTTAAATGCAGGATTAAAATCTCATACTATTAAGGATTTAAAATTGATTTTCTAAAAATGCAGGATTAAAATTGACTTCAACCAACCACGATTGTGTAAATGCAGGATTAATGTTTACTGCTCCAACATTTGATACACATCATTTTTGCAGCCAACCAAAGACATCCTAGAAAAATAAAAAATTATGTGGCTTTTGATATATAACAAATAGCAATCATTTATCCTGAAAATAAAAAGGCAAAAAAAGTCGCTTTAGTAGAAAGAATATCTTGCACACACAAATCCTTAGCTATTTGACTCCTTATTTCTATTAAAAGATTTAGATTTGAACTGGACCAAAAAAAAATTAAAAAAAAATTGATGATTCATTAAAGAAGTTTGTTATCCGTCTTCTTACAACAAAGAGCACCTTAAACCACGAATGCTTCAAATTTAGTTAAAATTTAAAAGTAGGGTAGGTAGTCAAACTGCAAATACAGAACCAGGCCATTTTGGTCAATTATATCAACAGGATTAGGTGTGAGCAGACGAGCATATGCTACAGCTAGCATGTTTACTCAAATAATATTTTTTAAAGGTTATAAAATGTTGGAAGATATTCCCATGAATAAAATCACTGAATCTATCAGAGGATTAAAAATGTCAAAAGTAATAATAATAATGATGATGGTATTAATCCAGTGGGTATATATCCGCAAGAAGGAAACAGCAGCACTAGTCATTTCAAAACATTAATACAGGGAATCCATGTGCAACTGGCTGTTTGGTTGTATGTTTTTACCATGTAAAAGGATGTAAAGTGTAAAAAAGTGGGTCCCAATGTCAGCTTTCATCACTTTCAATTGTTTGTTTGTAGTTGTGAAAATAGTGTAAAGTGATTTCATATGCTGACGTGGCTTGTAAAGTGATTTCATGAAAAAAAGACATGATTTTAAGAGAAAGCTAACATTGAAGTTAGGAAAAAATAATAAAAAATAATTCCAACCAATATGATCATTTGAGTAGGGACCACTTTTTACACTTTCCAAACAAACAATTAAAATTTCATTTTGCAAACCAAACAAGTGTTTTATGATTCTAATGGAATAAAAAACAAACAAAGAAAAGTATAAAAGTAAAATTGATGAGGTGGACAACAACTTTCCAAGTTATGTCATAAATACACAACTTTACCAACAACAACCAAACAGCCCCACCTTTTATGTAATCCCAGTTCCTCACTGAGTGATTAATACAGCGAAGTACCCAAAGCAAATATTATATAGCACACAACGCAGATCTCAAAGACAATTCTGATCGACTATTATGTAATAAGCTAGCATCATATTCTCAGTGACGCGCGCTGATTGTTGCCTCTCATTTACGCAAATACAATCATAATAGAAGACTAAGGTTGAAAAAGTGATTTTTTTCTATTGCATTATAAAGCTATAAAAAGGACATAAACTAACACAAGGTACAGTACCTCGAAAAGGAGCTGCGAGAGTTTGAAAAATTCATCTACCAAACCTTAAAAAGGTCAGCAATCACATACAGTTTGGATCACGGCTGTTTTAAAAATTAATTCCACTAGAGAACAAGTTTGTTAAATGCCCAAGTTGTTGCAATGACCCCCACCCCATCGGCTTCGCTCACCCACGACCTTGATATTATTATCATCATCAATAATTCACGAGGCTCGAGCAGGTAAACTGAGGATTGGCATCTTCGAGCAAATTGTTCGTGAAGAGAAGCGGCTACTAGAGGAACTAGGATGCCACCAGAAATCTCAAAGCTCCTCGTCTCCTCGCTGCTCTCCCTTCTGCTGCTGATTCACGACGCTGAATCAGAAGCCACCGACAGAGACGCATTGCTCGCCTTCAAGGCTCAGGTCTCCAGCGACCCTTCGGGCTCTCTCCGCTCGTGGAGCCCGACGAGCTCTGCTCCCCATTTCTGCAGCTGGGCCGGCGTTCTCTGCAGGCGACGCGCCAACACCCGACTCGAGTAACTGAGTTGTCCCTGCCTCGGATGAACCTGACGGGCTAATATCACCAAACTGTAGCGAACCTCACCCACCTCGAACCTCAACCTCACGAACAACTTTCTTCACTGGGCGAAATCCATCGATTCCGGCGCCTCTCTAGACTGGGCAGTACCTTCGACATCCGTCAAACACCTTGCGCGGCGAAATATCCGCGCCTTCTCTCGCTCGCTGCTCGGGTCTCATCTCCCTGCTTCTAAAAAGAAACAACCTCGCCGGCAGATCCCCGCCAATTTCAGCCAGTGCGCAAAGCTGGGCGTGATTAACTTACAGTTCAATCAGCTCACGGGAACCATCCCCGAATCCTTCGGCTCGCTTCAAAATCTATACGCGCTTTTCCTGGAGGGAAACTATCTTGTTGGCACCATCCCTCCATCACTCGGGAATCTCTCGTCGCTAGCTTTCCTCGGCTTGTATCAGAACAGCCTACGAGGGCGAATACCCGACGAGCTTGGGAAGCTCTCGAGCTTGACGTACTTCGATGTTGCGGTGAACAATTTGACCGGCGAAATTCCTGATTCCCTCTTCAACGTATCCTCAATATTCTATTTCCACGTCGGGAACAATTCTCTCACTGGGAAGCTCCCTCAGGATCTGGGTGTCACTCTTCCGAACCTCCAAAACTTCTATGCTTTCTTCAACGGGCTCAGCGGCCGGATCCCTTCGTCGCTGCCCAATGCTTCGCGTCTGCAGCAGTTTATGCTCGACGGCAACATGTTCAGCGGGACGATCCCTAAAAACCTGGGGTCCTTGCGGGAGTTGACTGCGTTTCAGGTTGGTCAGAATCAGCTCGAGGCCAACGAGGCCGATGACTGGGATTTTCTCACCTCCTTGTCTAATTGCAGCGGTTTAAGTGTTCTCTACTTGACTCAAAAAGACTCCGAGAGTATCTTCCCGATTCCGAGTTGGCAAACAATAATGATGACGCTACGTGCTGACCGATGTCGGAAAATAAAATATCCTGGAGAAATTCCAGCGGGATCGGCAGGTACCGACAGCTTGCCGTATTCGACATGTCTGGTAATCTTCTTACGGGCACAGTTCCTAGTGAAATAGGAATGCTTCAAAACTTACAACTGTTGCACTTGCATCAAAACCGGCTCCGAGGCCTAGTTCCAAACTCCATTGGCAATCTCACCGAGCTAAACGAACTTGTATTGAATGATAACAGATTCGAAGGAAGTGTACCCATGGCCATTGAAAATTTATCAAGTTTGAGCCTTTTAGACCTTTCAAGAAACAAGCTCAACGGTACAATACCTGGAACAGCAATCAGCAAGCTTCATTCGCTAACACAGGGCCTCAATTTGTCGTCCAACTTGCTGACAGGATCATTACCGATGCAAATTGACAGCTTGATCAATCTCGTAGCTCTTGATGTTTCCGAAAATAGATTGTCTGGAGAAATTCCCAGCTCTCTTGGTGCATGTCAGCTTTTAGGACGCCTTTTTATGCAGGGAAATTACTTCGAAGGAAACATTCCATTGGCGCTCAGCAGATTGGCGGGAATAGAAGAGCTTGATCTCTCACACAACAACTTATCTGGTCCAATTCCAGAATTCCTTGGGGGATTTCGACTTCTGCATAATCTGAATTTGTCATTCAATGATTTCCAAGGTCCTTTGCCAGATCAGGGAGTCTTTCGAAATGCAAGCGCTTTATCAGTCACAGGAAATAACAAGCTGTGTGGGGGTGATCCTCAGTTCCATCTGCAGCAATGTGACGCTGTTGATGGAGCGACTCATAGATCATCACATCACAAAGTTATCATTCCTGTTGTTGTAGCTTGCACACTGGCAATTTTATTATGTGCAGCTTATTACATTCGAAGGCGAGGAATGAAACCAAATCCTCCAAACCCTTCTTTGAAGGAGTCGTTCCTCCAAATTTCTTACGCAGAAATACAGAAAGCAACTGCTGGATTCTCAGCATCCAGTCTCATCGGTGCAGGAAGTTTCGGATCTGTGTACAAGGGAGTCATGGATTCTGACCCAAATCAGGTTGTAGCTATTAAGGTCCTCAACCTTGAGCAACAAGGAGCTTATAAGAGTTTCATGGCTGAATGTGATTCATTGAGGGTTATTAGGCACCGCAATCTCATCAACATTGTCACCATCTGTTCAAGCATTGATCACAATGGCAATGACTTCAAAGCTTTGATCTTCGAGTACATGCCAAATGGGAGTTTGGATGACTTGCTGCATCCACAAGCAGAGCTCAATGAAGGGAGTCACGGCACAAACTCCAAACATTTGAGCCTTGTTCAGAGATTGAACATAGTAGTAGATGTTGCCTTGGCGCTGGATTACCTTCATCACCAGTGTCAAACACCGATTGTGCACTGTGATCTGAAGCCGAGCAATGTTCTCCTTGGCTATGACATGACTGCCCGAGTATGTGACTTCGGTTTATCAAGGTTTCTGCATAGAACAATCAGTTCGTCTTCAGAAACAAACAGTACTATCGGACTCAAAGGGTCCATTGGATATATACCTCCAGGTATGAATTATTGAACTCACTTTTTATTTTCTGGTAATACATTCATACAAAAAGCTTGAAACTAAATTCCTTTTAAGCCCATAGAATTATAATAACCGCTCATGCATGCAGTCAACACCTGACAAATGAACATTCAATCTTCATCAAAACAGAGAGTTTTTATCACCTGGTTATGAAAACTATTTACTTAAATGTATTGCTGAAAGATAAAGCCTAACTCTTTTATTTGCAACAAAGAAATATTCAAGGAAAACTAACTACCAGTAAACATTTATATCGTAGAATATGGGATGGGAGGCACTGCCAGCACGCAAGGGGATGTCTACAGTTTCGGAGTGCTACTGCTTGAAACGTTTACTGGAAAGAGACCTACTGATAAGATGTTTCAAAACGATTTAAACCTTCATAAATATGTGGAAATGGCATATCCTGATCAACTCTTAGACATAATAGATCCATCTGTCGAGCGAATAGTCAAAGATGTAAGGGGCAATTATGCCGCATTAAACACAACTGAACAAGAACTGATTCATGAGGGCGTGCTCTCAATTTTCAGAATTGGTCTTCTGTGTTCTCAAGCATCTCCGAATGAGAGAATAGAGATGGGAGATGTTATAAACGAGTTAATTCTTGTGAAGAAGACATTTGATGGATTGGAACCGAAAGCTGAGACAAGCAATTGAAGCGGCAACTAGAACTACCACTTTACTGTGGCATCAAAGTGATGATAGATAGACTGAAGGTTATTTAAGTTCAGTCATACCTGAGACAAACACAGATAAGATTGCTTCAATTCTTTTTATTTTTGTTAAATGTAAATAATATTTGCTTTGAGCTTATTGTGACACTGAAGAGTTCCCAACTGGAAATAAACTGGTTTCTGACGAGCAATTGCAGTGATTGAAGCAATTACCAACAATCTTCTAAATTTGTGATATGACTCAAAATTTGATGGGATACATGTCAAACAGAAACTTGGCATTTTGGAAAAGCAGATACATTTGGTGAACGTTAAAGGAAAATCCTCTGAACATATTTCCGAAAGAGAAGGGGTGTTATCCATGATCTTTCATCTTTAAGCAATTACTAATGTCAATAGACCTAGGAAGAGTGTAAATATTTTCCTTTCGATCAGCTATTGATGGACACAGTAAGAGATCATATCTGGCCTATAGGTATTCTTGCATGCACAAGTTATCTTAATGTTTATGAATAACCTAAATCCAAGAACCTCATTCAGGCGCTAAGACATTATCAGGTTTGAATTTATAAATTGAATGCAAAACCTCATCAGACTGCTTTCAGCTTTGACCCTTTTTTGAACGAGAACCCGACAGCAAATATGAAGAAAGTGTGCCACACATAATATAATGTATGTGAACAATTGCTCTATAAAGAATCTTCTAGTAAAATAAATGGTAGTATTCACTGTTATCAAATTGACAAGAGTCTAAAATCAAAATTTGATGTTGCAACTAGCGTGAGTTTAGTATTTCAAGGTAAAAACCCTGCAGATTCACAAGAAATGGCAATAAAAAGATGAACAGAAAGTATTGGTTTTGACAATTTTCATGTACCTAAATAAACTATCACCCACTCCTGTTGAAAGCCCAAGCTGGAAAGCAATACCGGATTTCAGTTTGGATACTACAAACCCAATCTGAAACTGTCCATTTCAACCTAAACAAAAGTGTAAGTGTGTGCCTCAGTTTAATGAGGAACGGTTCAAAGTTTGCTGAGTCCAAAAGATCGAAAGAAAGATATGTGAGCGCTTACTTTAGATTCATAAAAAGCCAGACTTTGAATTCAAGAAAGCACTATTCCTATCACCCACTCCTGTTGGCAAGGGAATGTTATCCTCAAGCCTTTTTGCACTTTAGACCAGAAACTTGCTAAGCCCATTCCTCCAGATTCATCGACCTGGACTCATACACATATAGACTATTCCCAAATTGAGATTCAGAAGCCTCCAGGGCAAAAGCAGAGATCACCACCACCACCACCACCATCATTATCACCACCATCACCACCACCATCATCATGCCTTTTCCATTAAAATTGGATCGGGTACAAAACAGAAGAATCTTTGACAGGTTTGGTCACATTTCAAATCCAGTGTCCCTAGCACGCTAAATTAATTGTAAAGTCAAGGACAAGGCCCAGCACATTATAGCGTCTGAATTCTAGCATAAGGAAACTGTGATGAGAAAAATAGGGGCTTGCGAAAGATCCTGAATCCTTAATACCAGCTAGTATTGAGATCTACCTTACTGGTCATATACTTTATGCTTGTAAGGTTGTGGAACCAACAAGAAACCTCCAACGTTTTATTATAAAGTGAGAGATTAAAAGAGGGAAGGTATAGGTTTCAGTAATACAAATTCGAGCCTAAGATGCAAATCAAGCAAGAGTAGATAAGGGAAAATAGTCAACAAGATACTTCTCAAACGAGATAATGTAAAGAAGAAAACAAACTAAAGAGTAAACAGTTTACCAGTCTCACGGTGAGGACAAAGCAATTTTACTGGAATCAGCACGCCAGATGACTGAGAGCTATCGCCACTATAACTCTGTAGTAAAAAGAGCACCGAACATCTGAAATCAGCTTGTCAGATGACTAAGAGCTATTACCGCATAACTCCATGGATATAGCTTCTTGGAACGTAATGCAGATTTTTGAATTGTTTGCTTGCTTAAATATGAGACAAATCAGAAAACTTCGGGTGTTTGGCACTTCATGTAGAACTAGTATTGTTTGCAGCATGAGGAAGTTACCTGCTTGATAACAACAGTGATCGAATAACATCGACAAGGGAAAAACCATTTTCTACCCAAAGGGTAAAAACAATGGGTCAATTCAGCATTTGGAAAAGCTTCTCAAAACTCAGTTTTGAAACTCGCATAAAAGCTGTTCAAAGGATAATCGCTTTGAAACTCAAAGGAGGAGATATCCATCCCTTGAAACATACGCCTCATCACTTAAATCATAACTAAAATATGTGCTTAGCGCTTCATGAAGGGCTTCTTATTTTTTTTATTTTTGCTGAGTTGCAGGGCTTTAGACAAGATGGAAGGATATAAAAAGATTTTTAACTAAACTTAAAATGCCCAAGTTCTTCATTTTCTTTTCCTCAGTTCCAAGATGTTTTTTCCTTTTATTGAAATTAAAAGCCAACATAATCATCTTCTTCAACTTTTACTCAACAATTTAGGGTTTTTTTTTCCTTCGTGTGTTAGGATAGTTTTTATATTCATATGTAGAATTTGGTATTTTTCTCTTTTTTTGGAAGTGTGCCTAGTTCCTAGTCTATTTCTATCTGGAGTTTTGAATCCATGTAGCAGGTGATCTTGGTTTTAAGACAATTTAACTTTAGATCATGTTTCTTCAATATGATCATGTGACTATAAGAAATATTTATATTTAACATATGTAGTTTAGTTTATTATGATTTACATCTCTTAAGCATATTTAATTTATATTTACTAATCAAGACGTGAATGTGTCTATTTGTATACCACAATATATTGTATGTTTATAATATTTATAAATTTTAATTAAATATACTTAACTTTGTTTGGGAGTTTACTAGGGGAAGGAAAGGAAAGATAAAATAGAGGAATAGAAGATAAAGAAGAAGTGAGAAAATATAATATCTTGTTTGGGAGTTTAGTAAGGGTAATGGAAACTTACTTCACCATGTTTGGGGATTCTAATAAAGAGATTCACCATGTTTGGGATTCTAATAAAGGGAAGGGAAGCGAAAAAGAAGGGTTCATCATCAAATATCAGCCATTGATCCACAAGGACAGAAGGCCAAAAACTAGACCTCTTATGATTAATTCTCTTCCCCTCTACACCCCAATTTGGGAGGGAACAAAAGGAACATGTTTTTATGTAAAATTTCCCTCCCTACCGTCCATTACCTCTCTCCAAAAAATAAAATAAAATAAAATAAGAACTCCCAAATGGAGTTAAGTGACCACTTTTCTTCTCTTACTCTTCTCTACCCTCCATCCAAACAACAGTCGACTCATGAGGCTTACGTGTCATGCGTTGAAGCTTACACCTCGTTTCATAAAAGAGTCTAACGCTTCGTGTTGTGCATCTGCATTTTTAACATTAGGTTAAATAACAAGAAACATGAGGTGCATGGAAAATAGGAGCAGGAGCAACTGGTTAGTTTGATATGCAACCTCTCCATATTGTAATTACTACGTAAGAACAACAAAGTAACTATGCAGCTTAAAAAATCTGTATATTCTAAAGAAAATGCCCAATCTTTGAAGAAAGGAAAAATACACCCATTGTGATTGCCTGAACTAGGAAGAAGCATAAGAAAAGAAAAGCATGTGTAGAACGTTTAAGTTTTTAAAAAGAAAATTAAGAACTTAAATAAAAGAGGTGCGCGATAGAAAGAATGGTATAGCTGACGCAAGCAGGGAAAAGATAAAGACAGTTCACTACAAGCTCAGATATTTATAAGAAATGAAGAGGAAAGGGAAAGGGAAACAGCAGGAAGTGCTAAAAGACTGAAGGTGCATTTCATAAGCATGTACAGAGCAGACTCCGGAAGTGACTCAGAAAAACTAACATTGTGTTGTCTGGACTGACCGCAGCTTCCTTTTGTTGGTATTCAGTTATTAGAAATTATAATTTGTGCCAATAAGTTGTAGACAGAAGCTAAAATTCCAAATAATTGTAAACTAGGGAAATGAAGATGGAAGCACCTCGGTACTTAGCGAGCATGATAGAAGAATCCATATAGTCTTAGAAAGAGGAAAACACATCTTATTCATAGCCAAAGAATGAAGCACAAAGAAGGGAGGGGAAAAAACATGATAATGTTAATCATACATGAGATGGAAGAAGATGTGAATGGTCCAAGCTAAGGCCTGCCAGGGCATATAAAACTTACAAAAGGACTAGCTTATGAGAAATAAAACTCCCTGATACTTTTTCTCATCCAACAGAAATCTTCCATCAGATAGCCTAGCACAGTTAACTGAAAATGTATAATGGCGAGTAACTATGAGAATGCAAAGAGTAAATCTCTCCAAACAAAGTGCCTGTTTAAATTAATGGGGATGTATTCACATAACAGAAAAAGCCAAAGGAAATTCCCAAGCACATGGCAGGCAGGCAACTCTTGCTAACACATAAAATAAGCAACAAACATTTATTTTCCAACAAAACTTTTGAGATTTCAGAATGTCTGGCTGCATATAGCAGAGTGGGAAAGCAAATTAAATAAATATTCCACATATTTCTC